TTTGATAATTTGGTTTTAAAAGTAACAGTATCAGCTAGACTACCTTTACAATAGATAAAAAATAAAAAAGTAAAGGAATTCTTCAATTTTATTAATCCTATTTTGATACTTTCTGGTCATCATGCGTTTAGAGGTCTGATTTTACAAATCACCACACAAAAGATAAGAATGGATTTAAAAAATAAAGTACAAACTGATCCTATTAGTGTTACTCTATCTTTTGACAGATAGACTAACATTTTAGAACAAAATATTTTAAGAGCAGTTTTTGTTACTTCAAAAGAAGAAGTTTTAGTTTGAAAAGCTGAAGACATTAGTAGTAAAAGAGAAAGAAAAGAAGAGGTTATGAAAAAATCAAACAAATGCTTTATAAATATAAATAAATGAAAGCAAAGTTAATTGCTATAGTTACGTATAGTGCTACTTCTTATGATGTTACTTAGTAATTAATTATTTATTTAAAATATATTTATAGTTTAATGTATTTATAATTATTATAATTAACTAATTTTTTTATTGGTCGTCACCTTCGTCTTAAATAGTTTTTCTTTTATGTTTCACATATCAAATGAATTTATTTGTTTTGGAGATTTTATTATATTTAAAGAAGCGCAGTTTTGATTGCATTATATTTTCATAATTTAAATAACAAATATTTTATTGGAAATTTGCGTGAATTATAAAAAGAAAATTATAGCAATCATACATTTAGTAATACCAGAAGATACTCATTAAAACAATCAATATAAATATTATCGAATACTTATAAAATTCAAATTGGCATTTTGAGTAAGTTTTTTATAATATATATTATTTATTACTTATAGTTTACTAATAATATTATTTATATATTATTAGTTATTAGCATACAAATTTGAAGAACAAGATAATTGAACCAATCAAACTAATCAAGCTTTTTGAGTAAATTTAACCTTACCAAAAAATATTTCAAATATATTTCTTAATAATAATTGGTGAGATCAAATTCAAAAACTTGAATATTTACTTTATCTATTTTGCAATATACTTAATATTTTACAATGTGATAAAGCTCATTTATATAAAGTTTTTCATGGTTTTGGATATTTTGTAGATTTTTAGAAAACATATGAAGATATTGAATTAGAATAAAAGATGCTTTTGTAATTATAAAAAAGATGGTAAGTTTGGAAACAACCTTTACTTTTATTATCTGGAATGCTTGATTCTGATTATCATTTAGACAAATTAAATCAAAACTTAAAAAATTTAAATCATGTATATTTATCAAAATATTTAATATATTATTATAAAGCATGATCAAAGAAAAGTTTAATTCAATTTTACATGAATTTGAAAAGTATTATATTGGTACAGAATTCCATTGATAAACAATCATAATAACAATTTACTGGTAATATTTTAGGATTTTGAATATAGGTTGGTTCTGAAGCTAAAGAATTAAGCTTTGTTGCTCAACAATTTTTGGTATTTGTGTTAATTCTGCTTTTGTAAAAAATTTTGGTCTTATATGGGATTTTTACATACATCTCATCGAAATCATTTACATATAAGTAATTATAATTATAATTTTATTTAAAATTAATGATGTTTATTAATATATTAAATTTTTTTTAGTTTCAAAAAGCTTTAGATATGAGTAAGATATGAGCAACAATAAGCTATCAACATCGTATTAATGAAAAGGAAAAAAAGAAAGATTATATTATTGATCTAATAAATACTAATAATACTAATGAATGTATTTTAGAAAATGATGAAAATAATGAAAATAAATCAACTTGTAAAGCAAATAAAATTAATTTGAATGAAGGTTATTTTGAATTAGATAAAAATACTAAAACTAATTGGAATCAAATAATAGTAGAATGGGAAGAAATGTTAAAAGATGAATCAGAAGGATAAAGAAATATTGATGATTTTGATGATGATAATGAAGAATATCCTGCTATTAATATAGAAGCTAAATGGCAAATAATTGATTTATTTGTTAAAAAATTAGAAAAACACACTTTATATGATGATAGTTAAATAGAATAGATTAGTTATCAAATTCATAAAATAATAAAAATACTTACAATTTTTTTTTAAATTTGATTGGTTAATTTAAAAATTTGGCCGGCAAAAAATGCTTTTTTATAAAATTTTAAATTTGGCAAATTTGGCCTGGCCAATGGCCATGGCCAACACTGCATAAAACTATCTGAAAACCCATCTTTATAACCTAAAAAATTCTTGTTTTCTCTTGTAAATTACATATATTTTTATTGTCATTATTATGTATTTGTCCATACTTTTGAAAGTATCTTAAAAATACCTTAATTTCAAGACGAAACTCATGTCTATGTTGGGAAAAAAAATTACTAAAGCACAAAAATATAGTTGTATAAAAAAACAAGTGAACAAACTAAAATGAAATAGTATGATGAATTTAAGTTTAATATGAAAATGATTTTATCCATAATGTACTGCGATTGTTATATATATTTTTATGAATATGTTATGTTTTCATGAACTTTAATAAATTAAAAAACTTATATAAATAAATAAATAAATAAAATATTGTTAATTTAAATACAAGAATTAAAAATCAAAATATTGTTAGTCCGATCAGTCAACTGATCAGTCAAAATCGATCCGTCAACCGGTCGGTCAAAATTCTTTAAACAACCGATATCATGACCGGTCTATGACTCAACATATATATATTATTGAATGCTACTGTTTTATCTGTTTGGTTTTTTGCAAGCTAATCTACTTGGTTATTATAAAGTCATTTGGTGCGCCTGTACTTTGAAGAACCGTAATCATTAGCATCTCTATTTGTGAAAACCAATTTTTAAAAATAAAGAAACTTGTGATTTGTACTATTGCAAAAAGAAATAACATTTGAGCTATTTAATTAATGATAAAAGAACCAACGTTATTTTTATGCTGTGAACATAAGAAGCTAGCAAATTATAGTGGTTGAGCGATAACAATTTTGTTGATCATAAGATAATTGCTATAACCAAGTTAAACTAGAGATCTAATATTTCAGAAAGATTTACTCTTATCTACTCTTCGTAAAAGTATTGAAAAGATTAGTATTTCAGCTTCTTTTACCTTGATTGTAATATTTTTTAAATGAAAGATTGCGTATTCGACAAAGAACGACTTCATTTGTTTACTATAAGTGCTAATATCCTGCGCTTATTCTAGCAATATTTTATATAAATGGACAAAATGCTGACGTAATGACAAAGTGCTGACGTATAGTGAACTGGCAGTTCGATATAGTAATGATGAGTATTTTATTATTTTAAATTCCGGGTGCATTTTATATTTAAAGCAAGTTTCAGATGCAAATTAAATAGTACAATAATTATGTTCGTGGCAAACGCGCTACGAAATGGTAATAACTGATGATATTCGCCTATCTTCTCCGTTTACACCACAATTGAGGATTTAATGAAATTGGAAATTCCACGAATCCAAAATATTGAGTTTGGTTATGGTGTCTCTATACAATTATCAAAGAACTAAAAAACGAGCAGGAACAAAGATGAACTTATAAGGAATTGATAGATAAAGTAAGAAGGTTATGATAATGTCAATGACCGAGAAAATGCTCTTTAATTTTTTTTTTATCGGGTTTGTAACTTTTCGGGATTCCAAATTCCTAAAACCACATCATCCAATCCAAAATTAGAACTTTTAAAGAATCCAACCCTCTCTTTTCTTAAAAATCTTTACAATTAATTACCAAACAAAAACTAGGAAATTGATTTTACTGCTTTATTTTTTTTTAATGTATAAGTAATAAGTTTCAAATTTTGAAATTTTAATATAAATAATAATGTATAATGAATTTACCGACGTATTCTTGATTCATAATTTAAAAGTAATGGAACAAATTTGTTGCTTATTAAAATAATGTTTAATTTTCAGAGAAATACAGTATAAATAAATATATTATCCGTAGGTTTAAGATTATGATTTTAAAAAATAATTATGCTTAATTCCGGCAGAAATTTTATTTCGGATTTTGTGTAAAATCCGAAATTTTGGAGAATGATTTTTATGATATCATATTTCTGAATAAATCGGAGTCAATGATATGTAATATAAACAAACTTCTTTATTAGGCATTCATTGTTAGAAGATCGACAACATGATGTAGCCGATCCGCCAAATGTTACAATCAATACTTATTTCTAAATTAGTATATATATAATAAATTAAAGCAATTTTTTTTTTTTTTTTTCCAAAATGACTTTAAATTTTTTTCCCAGCCTTTCAAAGGATTTATCACGTATATTAGAATATTCCGAAGATTTCGATGTTAATATTAAAGTTGGTGAAGAAAATATTACAGGATTATTTCAAGCACATGCGCTTATTTTACGGGCACGCTCTTCATATTTTAGAGCAGCCTTTTCGTCTAATTGGATTACGAAAATGAATCATATGATCTTGTTTAAAAAGCCAAACATATCTCCGATTGTTTTTGATCTCATTTTAAAGTAGGCTAAGTTAAAATGTATAACTTTATTTTTCTTATCGAATTATAAATAAAAAAAAAATTCATTCAATGATTTTTTTTTTTAAAAAGATATATTTACGCAGGCGAACTTGATTTTACTAAGGTATCAGGTGAAGATACTCTTAGATTGTTAATCACATCAGATGAATTACTACTTGAAGAATTAATCAAACCAGTTCAAGCTTACTTGAAAGATCCAGATGTTTGGATTCAACGGAATTTTGTTCAAGTTTATCGTCAAAGTATTATTAACTGCAAAAGACTGCAAGATATTTGCTTCGAACCAATCTGTGCATCTCCGGGACCATTCTTCAAATCGAAACAATTTCTATCACTTGACAAAGATATCCTTTTCGATTTGCTTAAAAGGGATGAATTGAAGATGGGAGAGATTGATATTTGGGATAATGTAGTCAAATGGGGCATTGGACAGACTGGATTAATTGAGGAATTTAATAAAACTGAGTGGGATCAAATGGGACTTCAAATCTTGGAGAAAATAATTGAAAAATTCATTCCTCTTATTCGATTTACAAAAAATATACCCAGTGAACCTTTTTGTAAACTTCGTCCTTTTAAAGCTGCTATTCCCCATGAAGTTTATAAAAGAATTGATTCAATTTGTCATAAAGAAATCTTTAGGAAGGAGCCAACTTTGCCACCGCGATTTAGCACGAGAAAACCATCGTATTTTACCGTGGTGCTTTCACAAGCAATTTTCCATTCCGGTCTTTCGAAAGATCTTACTTTATTATTAAAAAAACCTGATGAATTTAATATGATAATTCAAGTTGGTGAAGATGCACGGGAATTTCGTGTTCATTCAGTTATTTTACAAGCGCGTTCACCATATTTTAAAAGTATTTTTTCATATAATACCATTATGAGAAAAGATGATGTGTTCATGTTTAATATTCCCAACATCACTTCAACTGTTTTTGAAGTAATCTTAACGTAAGTTATATTAATCCTATCAAATTTATTTTTCGATTCAATAATTAATTTTTAATTTCTAAATTTTTAAAATTTTCTTTTTTACTTAAAGTTATATATACACAGGTACATTTGATTTGTCCAAGCTATCAAATGAAAATATTCTTTGGTTGATCATTGCATCTGATGAATTCCTACTTCAAGAATTATTTAATTTTGTTCTAGATCACTTGATTGAAAACCTTGCTAATTGGATTCATCAAAATATTGTTTTCGTACTTAATAATACATTTAGACTCGCTGTCTGCAAGAAACTAATAGATTATTGTCTCGAAAGAATCTGTGAATATCCACAAACATTAATCGCTTCGAAAAATTTTTCATCACTGGATAAAGATATTCTTTTTCATTTGCTTAAAAGAGATGATTTGAAGATTGAAGAAATAGACGCTTGGAATTTTTTAATCAAATGGTGTAATGAGAATACTCCTGGGTTGGGAATTGAGAATGTTGATAGTACCAAATGGAGTCAAGAAAATCTTGAAGCATTTAAGAAAACGATAAGTCAATTCATTCCCATCATTCGATTTGTGGAAATTTCATCTGATGATTTCTTTGATAAAGTCCGTCCTTACAAAGCTGTTATACCTCACAATATTTATGAAGAAGTTGCTGAATTTTATTTTAAAAACACCTTACCAAAGTCAACTATGTCACAACCACGATCTATAAATACTGAATTTGAAATTGAATCAAAACTTATTAGGTCAAGTCTCGGTTATATGATTGCTCAATGGATTGAAAAGGAAAATGCAGAAAATCTCTTCCTAAAGAAAAAATATAAATTCAAGCTTCTTTATAGAGGTAGCCGAGACGGAATCAGTATTGAAGCATTTCGTACAAAGTGTAATAATCATGGTCCATGTTTGGTATTAGCCAAAGAACGATTATCATCAAAAATTTATGGTGGATATAATCCACTTGATTTCGTGCAGGACTGTTCGAAAAAACGATTTTATAAGACAAGTGAAAGTTTTATATTTTTGCTTGAAGATACAAATGTGATAATAAGTCGTGTAGTTGATACTAGTCGCGCAATAGTCGAAAAGAAAGATTATGGATTTAATTTTGGGGAATCTTTTTATATGGGTGATAAAAGCATTTATCTTAATTATAATGGCTCTTATGATGAAAAGGTTATAGATAAAAGTATGAATACTACCTTTCTTCCGGAAGAAATTGAAATATTTAGAATATTGTAAACGCTTGTATTTTATCTGATAGAATTTGAAGTATGTATATTAGAAAATAAATAAATTAAAGTAATAATTAAACAATTCATTAATCAATGACGTAGTCAATATCACGTTTTTGGCCGAATAAATAATCTATCAAAAACATTTTCTTCGTTAAAATTTGGAACTTCCAATGTCATTTTAATGTAAAAAAAAAAACAATTATAAAGATATACAAATTTCTACTTTAGTAAACTTTGCTTTGTAATTATTTTCAATATTTTAAATTGTGCATAAAAGAAGTGTTAGAATAAAACCATTAAAATACCACAACGATATGCAATATATTTTAAGAGTTCTCTTGACTTATTTAACAGAATATTTAATTGTTTTCCGAAACAAAACTATAAGCCGTCTAAGGTTAACGATATTAGATATTAGTATCAGTCCCAAATGATACCACTTCAAGAACCTTCATACCACATGCTGCTTCGGTTTTTCGCACAAATAATGTTATGTCCGACACAACATTGGGGTTGAACCGCAGAACTGAATCATTCATAGGGTTGGATTAACGTCTTATAAATTAAAGAATTTTATTCTTTAACGATAGTTTTTTATCTTATCGTGTATCACCAAATATTGACGGATATTTATAAAGATATCACCACGCATGTTTTACTTATATTTTTTACAAGTATTATTTATTACCGTATGATTTATTTCAGCACCTAATGGTTAGAAAAAACTGAAATTGTTATTGATAATCAATTCCTTTAACACTCTTTTAACGTTGTAGGTAATCAATACTTGCTTATTATTTGGGATTACACATCGAAACTGAATCTACATGTACATATTTCTCAAAGATAGGAAACATCATCTGATAGGAAACATTTTTAGCAATCCATCATCTTATTATATTCATAAACTTTATATCCTTTTAGAAATTCAATTCCTGGTTTCTTTTATCAATCATTATTAAAAGTTTCTTCTAGACTATTTCAAAAACGGGAGCACACCATTCTTAACCATTTGAAAATAGATTTTTTTTTTTTTACCAAAAAACAAAAAACTCTAAAACTGCAATTACAGAGACGAGGATAAAGAAATGAACCAATATGCCATGCCACCAACCAATAATAGTTGTATTCAGTAAAGGCGAATACTTTTCAGAAGATACTTGTTGGAAGTATGAAAACGAGTATGGTCTTTCGAAAGTATCTTGCACTTAGTCGCAACATGTATTTTTGACATAATAAACATAAGACTTAGAGTAGTAATCTCTAATTTCTCAGAAAGTTCAGCCTTAGACGATGAAAACATTCTATCTGAACGTGGTCAGAGGTTACACCGTAAGATACAATTATTATTTTGTTTGACCAGTCGCTTCACTTAAATGTCGAAATTTGTTTATTAACTTATTAAGCATTACATTTAGCTGAAACTCATATTTGAAATCACTTCAGCTTATCGTATCGAATAATATGTGAAATTTCAACACCGCGACATCGTTATCGTCATTTCGCAATTGTACATATTTCAAATATACACAGTAAAAGAGGGTCATCAAATTGGAGATGCAATTAATTCAATTAACATGATCTCTCAATTGATATTCCTGGATTGAATGAATTAGTAATGATGGGAAGAGTTTTACTGATGGTTTGAGATCATGGAGATACAACCTTCACTTCTTTATTTTGGCACCTATTGTAAAATTTATTAAGAAGGCTATCTATTGATTGGACAAATGAACTTTTCAATTGGAAAGTTATTGGAACAAATTATGTCTAAAAGATGATGAACAAAATAAATTGGATTGTTCTGCATGGTTTAATCGATATACCAACGGTGTTGACGACTGGTGAAAGAACTTTTATGAAGACATCATATTTTAATACTCAAGGAGATGAAAAAGCTGAACATCCGCAATCGTTAGTCGATGACTTGGAGACTTTTATTCAAGCTTTTCGTAAACAAATTTAGGAGCTCCAATATTGATATTTATTCCTTCTTTTTTCAGGCATTACGTTCAATTTTTCAAGAATACTTATAAACATTGAATTTTCTATTAAAAAATAAAAGTCAATTGAAAATACATTACTGGATAAACCTTTATCACATGATAATTGGTCTCTGCGAATACGTAGTGACATTGAAACTGTCGAAGAAAAAGTCATGAAATGAACTTGAAATTCGTAATTTTTGTTTGACACATTTTTTGGTAGAACCAAGTAAGATCTTCAAATATGTAATGAATTTTTATTTTCAAAATATACCGCGAATTTGCATTCTATCATGTCGCACGTAATCGAGACGTGAAAAAATAAGATGTTGAGTAATTGATGGTGTTCCAAGGTGATAAAAAGCGTTCAATGATTACGAAAACTAAAATACCGTGAAGCGATTATAAATGAAGTTAATCGCGTTCTTCCAGTTTTGAATACTGTAGCTAGTGGAGGTGACAATGAAATTATATGATCAAAGTTGTTCAATTATTGTTGATATGGCAATATTTAGGGATGTTAAACGATTGTGAACAAATTAATAAATTACGTGTTATAGAAAAGTTTAATCGCTTATCTATAATAAGTAACTCGATAAAAAATTGTTATAATTAATTTTATGGATAACTTTTAAAAGAAATATCTGGATTTCCGTATAAGTTTAATAAATATTTTTAATAAATATTCAATTAATACATTAGAAAGTAAAATACCGCCAGCAAAATAAAAATATTCTCTAGAACTGGCAAATTTATTGGGACTTTTATGACCGTTTAGGACAGTTTAACATCCCTAGCAATATTAAATAATAATGATGTAGCATAGTCACACCAGCTTTAATGAACGATGACAATAAAAGTTACATAAAGAATCAAAAGTTAATTAAAAATAAATCCATGGTTGTCTTGGATTGAATTACTTTCTTAATAAGAATACAATTTAACAGCAGCAAAATATTATTGATATATACTACGCTTGATCAGTAACAAATACTCAAAAATCCATTGTCTATATAATGAAGGATACAATTCCTATACTACAAGATTATTGCGAGGTTAATTCATCTTCAAAATGTGGCAGTCAGTCATTCGAAGAATATAATCTCTTGGGAAGTTCAAAAAGTACTTGGTTTTTCTGAATGTTTGTTGTAGCTTGAAATTCTATAACGCATACATCTACAAGTTCTTGATAAACAATTCATTGGATATTCAAGAGTTCTAACACTATTTCGAGGATTTATATTCCTACACAAAGTTCAAAAATTTTTGTCACTTCACTCAATTGATGTACGCTCGATATGGAATTTCAAGTTTAATTTTTGATGTTCAAAAACTTTATAAAATTTCAATTCGTAAAGAATTTACTCATGTGTTTGATCGAGGCTTTTTGTTTCTAGTCTAGAATACGCTACAGGAAAAATGTGGTGCTCACAAAAGATATAATAATTCTTATCAAAGATAATGTAGTGTTAATAAATAATCTTTATTTATTTGTCAAAATTTCTCGAGATAAACATTCCTATCATACATATTTTGGCGCTAATTTGTGATTATATTAGAAATTCTATTGGAAATCTCCATTTTACGTAAGCATTTCATAATGAAATAAATCTGAAAACCAAACAATGATGGTTCTTAGTAATGTTATCAAAAATCCAATGATTTAATAGATGTAATTCTTTTAGCTATTCAGGATCTAAGAAGGTTCTCCGTTGAATTAACCAAAGATGTTTTAAGTATATCTTCAGTTAATGAAGAAGAAAATGAGGATGATAAGGAATTTTCTGATGGATTTATACGCCAAGAACACGAATGCGTATTAGACTTTGGCAAGCATTTACGTATATCTTTGATTCTTGAAAAGTTCGACATTCTGCATGATCAATTTAACAATCGAGTCGAATGATGACGAAGGAGGTGATGTTGATGAAAATGTTAAAGATACCGGTATTGAAGAAGGTGAAAGTACTAAGGATGTAAGCGAAGAAATGCTATATCAATAATAGAATTTGGATTTGATTAATTATAATATTTTTAAGGTAATTGATTCAGCTCATTTATTATAAGTCGTTTATTTATTAAATTTATTAACTTACACTTTTAAAGACAATTATTTTCGCATTAAGCTCAACATAATTATTTTATTTATCATATTTAATATAATAATTTAATACATATGATTTCATTCAAGATTATTTAAATATTAATTACAATCATCATGTGAACAAAATCGCTATACAGACTAACTACACAGATAACATTTACTTAAATATGATCAAATTGTGTGAATTTCAAAATATGAAAAAGCAATTTTGGTTTTAATAAATTTAATATTTTCAAACAAATATGCAAGTTTTAAGAGTATTATAACCGTTAATAATGCTTAATTTAATGAAAATCAGCATTTAACATTATGTAATATGATCAGACAAATGAGACAAATGATCGATAAAATGACATTTATGTGATAAATAAGAAAACCCGCTATACTGCTCTGAATTGATTAGGTTAACCAGTTATTAACCTGAGTTAAGTATTATAGTCAGGTCAGGATCATAATTTTAAAACCTGATAATGATATCTAAATTAAATTAACCTGTTAGGTTAGGATCTGCTTTTATATAACTCAGGTGATCATATGATTCTAATTATACTACACAAGAAATTTAAATTATGGACTTTTTGACATGTAAATATGCTAAAACCCATCAAACAGTAAAATGTCTTATTGTCTGTAAGTATTTTTAAAATTTGTTATTATTATTTAATTTTTATAAAAGATATAAAACTTGGCTTTATAAAGTCAGCTAAATGAGTATTTTTTATACTAGAACTTATTTAGTTGCAGTAGCAAAGTAACGATACTTTAAGTATATATAATTTGCGCATATTTGTTTTGAAATCAAGGTTTTGTAGATAAATTTGATGCATTAACTAGTATTGAAAATGAATTTATACTATATAATAAATAATTTAAAAAAAGCATCAGGTAGAATATTCATATTAAAATTCATTTCTCAGCATTACCATTACCTGTAAAACTTAGGTTATTTTATATTTAGCTATAGTTAGATCAGATCAGATTCGTATTATATAAATATTAACCCAAATATTTTTAATAATTTATTTATACTCTTAGATTAGATTTAAATTCTCTGAAATCTAATCTGATTTAACAATTTCAAAATATTAATTTAAACCTCAAAACTAAAATTATTGATAGAAATGAAATCTTAGCATTCGTTTATTATTAGAAAAATTTAAATAAAAGTACATTACTTTTTTTATTTATAACATATTACAGTTGACCTCTATATAGTTACACCTTTTCTTTAGTCATATTATAATTTTACTTAAATTTTAAATAAAATATACCCCTTTTATAATCACAATAATATATAAAAATATAATCATATTAATTTTAATCCTATCTTATAATGAATATAAGAAAATCACCTCATATATAATCACATCAAATTATATCCCTTTTTATATCATATCTATATTAATATTATTATACAAATAGTATTTAAAATATCTAAAAATAAAAGAAGTATAATTTCTGTCAATACCGCTCCATTTCTTATGAAACAATTACCATTTAAAATCCTTAAAACTAAACAAATCCAATAAGCTAATTAACATTAATTTCAGATTATCCAATTATGAGATAATTATGATTGAATTATTAGTAATTATAATTCAATAAATTCTACTTAAAGAAACCCAATTTTAATATTCAATCGTGAATATCTGGTGATCGGTTGATCATAATTCGATATATATTAACTCATTGGATTCATTTATATTTGAGAATTCAAATGTTAGTTTTTTCATAAGAAACAGAGCGGTTTTGACTAAGATTATACTCTTTATTTAGATTGTTTACATAATTATTATATAATATGATAATATTAATTTTGACCATTTTGCGATATTGATTAATTTGGTTTTATGTTTTAATTCATACTAATAGATAACCAAATTTACACTTATTTCTTTGAAATTTTTAACAAAACTTTAAAATATTATATAATTTATTATAAAATTAATTAATACAAAATTTTATATATAATCATATTAATAATATTTTACATATAAGTAATTATAATAATAAATCTTTTAATATAAGCATATCTTCATATAATTATACTATTTTATGGTCCCAAAGGGTGTAATTATAAAGGGGGTCGACTGTATATGAGAGTTTTATGATAGAAAGAAAAAATAAAATTTATTTATTATATATTATATGTTGAAGTAATTTTTTAAAAATAATGTCTTTAACATAAAAAAATTGCTTTTTCTAATTAAAACCATACAATTATGCTTATAAACATAAAATGTAATAAAATATTATAATATTTTTAGATTAATACAAATTAAAGATCTTTTATTTTTAATTATTGCCTTTTAAATTTGTAAAGAAATAATTTTATGTTTATTATATATTTTATAAAACATAATATATTATAACAAACTATGTACATAAAGTATATAAATCAATTAAATAAAGAATTCAATAAAATTTTATTAAAGGAAATAAAATGGAAATCTATTTATTAAATAAATATGTAAAAAATTTACAAAAATACAATTATTATTACTTCTGCCAATATACCATAATAGGCTTAAAAAGAAAAAAACTATTTAATCCTATTTTTAAATCTAAGATGATAAGCTTTCCTTTTTATAATAAATTTTCTTTCCATAGCTTAGTTATAGAATACTTAGCAGGATTATTAATTCTTATAACTTAGTTAATAAAAATGCTTATTAATTACTTCATTATGTTAAAAATAATCATTTTGACATATACATTCTATAATTACCATGAGTCCTAACTTGCAAAAATTTCAAAAGGCAATTTTAACAGATATATTAGAAATAATAGCAAATTAATCATCAAGGTTATGATGATTTATATATAAATGCAGTCAAATTCTGAAGATAACACTATTTTTAAAAAAAAAATAATAAGTTGAGATATTATAAATCGAAGAAGTTATCAGTAAAAAAATAATAATCAAATCCAAAATAAAATAGACTTAAACAAACCATTAGAAATTAGGAATAAATTAGATAAAGTAAAAAAAAATCATTATTATGTATTATTATTGGAAGTTTTTACCTAAAGATTTAATATCAACTATTCTTGATTCAAGAATTAAAAATATGAATGTTGAAATAGAAGAAAAAGAAATATCACATCAAAAATATAATGAATATAAGAAAAATTTTTTATTATCACCAATTGAATTTCAAGCTTCTTTTCTAACATCATCTGATATATCAACATCTTCAACTATTATTTATAAACCTAAACTTTTTGCAATTTTTGAACAAAATCAACCTCAAGTATCTGATGAAGTAACAGAATATTTAAAATAAGAAAAAATTCCATTTAATCAAAATCCTTTTGAATGGTAGGCAAATAAGAAAAATAAATATCCAATTTTAGCTAAAATAGCTAGAATTTATTTAGCAGTTTCTGCTACATCTACACCATCAGAAAGGTTATTTTCTAATACTGGAAATTTACTTACTGCAAAAAGAACTAGAATGAATGCAGAACTTTTAAACGTATAATATTTTTAAAAAGAAATGCATTAAAAATTATTAATTAATATTTGTTTTATTTTATAAATACTTCAATTAATTATATATGAATTATAAAAAAATAAGATATGATTTATGAAAAAATATGATATGGATTATAATTTTATTTTTTATTTATAAATAAATATTTTTACAAATTAAGTTTTAACTGAATTTTTTTTTAAATGAAATATAATTTATTTAAAATCTTTATATTTCAAAAAATTAATATATTACTAATTAATAAAAATATTCGTTTTTATTTACATCAAATCCAATTTGATTAAATCTGAATTATAAGAAATAAAAAAAAATGGTAAAAATGGTTTAAAAGGAAATTAGCTAAAAATTTATATAATCGTTTTTAAAAAAATAATAATGCAAAACCATTAATTAGTATTTATCTTATGTTTAAGATCCTAAGATTTATAGGTTTATAAAAGTAAATTAATGTCAATTTAAACTTTTTAACCTTTTTTTTATAAAAAAAAAAAAATACTAATAAATTCTTACCTAAGATCCGATTTCAATTCAAGGTTTTAAGAATTTGGACTATTTTACAAAGATAAGTTAGTTGAAATATTAGTTTATTTATAAAAATAAAAACACAATTAATTATATTACTTAAGACTTATCTCCATTCCAAATTTCAGATTCATAAGTTTCGGATTGATCTAAAGGTATTTTTTTTAAATTAAAAAAAAAATAAAAAAAATAGCTAACAAAAATTCTTTATTATAACTTACTTCCAATTCGATTCCAATCTAAGATATAAAGGTTCCATACTATTTTCTATAAAAGTACGTTAGTTGAATGTTTAAAAAATAAAAACACCAATTAATTATTATTTTAAGACTTATCTTTATCCTAAATTTCAAGATTTATAAGTTTTGAATTAGTCTATAAAGGTAAGATAATGTTATTTTTTATAAATTTAAAAAAAAAAATATAATAAAAAGCTAACAAAAATTCTCTATTAGGACTTACCTCCAAATGGAAAATACCAGATTGTTTTCTATAAAGGTATGTTAGTTTAAATTTTTTTTTAAACAAAATAAAAACTAATGAATTATTCAATTAGGACTTATCTTTATGCAAGAATCAAGTTTTATAAATTCTGGATTGGATTATCAAAGGTAAGTTACATTTTTTTTTCAAAAAAAAAATTAAAAAATTAAACTTGTTATTAGGGCTTACTTGATTCGAGAAGCTTCGTTCATTAGCAGAATTAACCTTGCATCTTGCGACATGAACTGATATCAGCTATGTAGCATTTGTAAACATGCTTTACTCCTAGTCTACAGGATAATCTAGACGTTTGGGTTTTAAAGTTACCTTTATACTTTACAGGAAGCTTTAATGCCTTCGCTTCTAGAATGAGAGCTTACTCTGTCTATCTGAAGGT